CATCTGTATCTTTGGGGTAAATACCCAGTAGTGCAATGGCAGGGTCATAGGGAAGCTCTATTTTTAATTTCTTGAGGAATCTCCACACCGTTTTCCAAAGTGGCTGTACCAACTTGCATTCCCACCAAACAGTGTAAGAGGGTTCCCCTTTCTCCATATCCTCACCAACACTTGTTGTTTCCTGTCTTGCTAATTTTGGCCATTCTAACTGGTGTAATGTGGTATCGCAATGTGGTTTCTAAAGAAAAAAATAATAATTTAGGCTTAGAGGAAAAGCCAATAGAGTGAGATCCATTCTGTTCTATTCTAAAAATTGATCATATTGAAATTTTAGGCAGTGATATGGGAGAATTAATAGGAAAGCTTCAAATTGTTCTTGTTCTGAGGAGAAAAGAAATTAAGTGGAAACACTCCTCATTTTGCTGATTATTAAATAGCTCTGATGAGTTATCTCAATAACATTACATCATAAAGTCCTTATGAAGTAAGATAAACACTGCTATTCTCAATCACAACTGAAGAATAGAAACTTGGAGAATGGGGGCACCTGGGTGGCTCAGTGGTTAAGCGACTGCCTTCAGCTCAGGTCATGATCCTGGAGTCCTGGGATCGAGTCCCACATCTGGCTCCCTGCTCTGTGGAGAGTCTGCTTCTCCCTCTGACCTTTCCACCTCTTGTGCTCTCTCTCATTCTCTCTCTTTCAAATAAATAAAATCTTTTAAAAAGAAAGAAACTCAGAGAATGTACATGAATTTTCCGAAGCTCCAGAACAAATAACTAGGAGAGTTGAGATCTTTGCCAGGGTGTGCCTGACATTACGGTACACATCCTTTCAATCAGATTTCACCCTTTGCAAGGGTGAGCATCTTTGATTCCTGGGAGTGGCACCCCGTTTATCTGTCCCTGTCTGTCTCCCACTACTGTGCTCCAGAATCCCATAGTGCATTGATTCCATCCTGCAGGGCCTCAGAACCCAGGCTTCCAGGCCTCCAGTAAGGGTTGCTTATCATCTCCCCCAGATAGATTCGTTGGGAGCCAAGGGAACAAGTTTTACAGATGATACCTTTTGCCAATGTCTTCTCTTCCTGTGAAATACAATCCTTTCAAGGGCACCTGGGTGGCTCAATCGTTAAGCATCTGCCTTTGGCTCAGGTCATGATCCAAGGGTCCTGAGATTGAGCCCTGCATCAGGCTCCCTCCTCTGCAGGAATTCTGCTTCTCCCTCTCCCATTCCCCCTACTTATGTTCCCTCTCTGGCTGCCTCTCTGTGTCAAATAAGTAAAATCTTTAAAAAAATATATATATATATAATCCTCTCAGTACTAGGAAGTGTGCAGCTGCTTTCTTCGAAACACCTCCAGAAATGTGTATAGCATTCTGCATCCTGAGCGTCGTGGGGCTTGATGAAGAATTCTGACTACGTGTGGTCTTTTACAGAATGAGAGATGTCATTGGTACCAGTGGGTTTGTTGAGGGCATTTCAACAAATGAAATTCAAAGCATGCAGGTGGGACAAGCAGACGCATCTGATTCTGATGGACATCTACCCAGCAAACTGCATAACTTCCTTAAAAAGAATCTGCAATCCCTGGGTGTAAGTTACCGTTAGTCCTGTAGACATTGGGGGGTGAGTATGGAAAATTAACGTGGTCTGTAATTTTATTTGGGATAAATTATTTCATGCCAATTCATAAGATTAGGTAAGAAGTGAGTGAGGGCGATATATTTGGGTGTACCATTAGGTCAAATGTTTTGGGATGAAGGTGTTCTGGGCTCCCAGAGGTCAAATGGGATGTTTTTCCCAAACGTAATATCCCCATGAGGTAATATCCATCAACAAGGCTTGGTAAACCAATACAATTTCTTTGGATTCTCTTCCAAGGATTATTTTCCAATTAAGGTGAAAAGATCACACGTGATTCATATATGATCTTGAGATCTGAGGGAAAGATGTCTCTAATTGTGAAGAGTTTCTACTTCACCCCTATGTTCTGTTTTTCTTCCTCCAGGTAGCTCAGATAATGATTGGTCTGAAATGCTTCTTAGCTGGCATCATCGAGATTTTTTTCTACTGGTACATTAAGGACAGGAATCTTTTATTCTGCTTTTATATTGGCTACCCATTCTGGGCTGGAATGTCTGTGAGTATATCTATTAGAACTACTTTGGAAACCAAAGAAGTTATTTGGAAATTATAAATAAAGGGAAAATGTATTTAATTAGTTTATCCTCTCTTTTTATAGACAACAGCTGAGATTGATTGATTGATTGATTGATTTTTTTTTAGCAGAGCCACCATCCTGAATAGATAGGGAATTTGTAGGAGAGAAGGTGACAAAAGTAGCCTCAGGACCAACTGCAAGTGTTTGGCCAAAATAAAAAAATGCTCGAGTCCCATGCTCCCTCCTTTGAAAGGAGAGATCATACTTAACTGAGATGATCCAGGCATACATTAGAAAGTAAATGAACTTTCAGGTTGGAATATGTTTGGATAGATTATGATGGGGGTGTGTAGGTCAGGATCATTCTTCCCATTCAACTTTGTCACAACTGATGGCATCTACATGGAGCCCTTGCCTCACCTTCTGTCCACCTCAATATTCTTCCATCCATATGCCCAAAGTAGACTCAGATCCAACTTGATTCAGTTCAATGATTTGTTCTTTAGGAATATTCTGTCAGAATAAACATATTGACTGGGTGAGATGTGGAGTTCAGGGTAGGTCATCCAGGGTGGTGGTAGGTGATGTGGATGGGAAAGAGTTCTCCCCCATGAATGTCTTCCCTGTCTTACAAACAGTTCATCATGTCTGGATCTTTGACCATCTCATGTACAAAAAGACAAACAAAATTTCTGGTGAGTATCATTTTCCCTTTTGCTCATTTCATGAGTTAATAAGAACAGTTGACTCTGACTCTCTACACAAAGCTAAACCAACACAAAATTTGGATTTTCCAGTCTATTTTATTGACTACCTTGCAACTTTTGCTTCAATGATTAATTCTTTAGCATATGAGGCATATACTTAGCTTTTTTTAGGAAGAGAAAGTGTTCAACTGTATGAATTTTAGCAAACACTTTTTTAAAAATCTGGTAAGAAGCAAAGTAAGGGAGTCTTACATACAGATCCCATCACAGTGGTTGAAGAGGTACATTTTGGAAGGCTAAAATGGGGAGGATGGTGCATACGTTTGTGCGTTTGTATCAGGAAGCTTCTAGTTCCAGGAGCTTCTAATTCAGGAGGACATATTAGAGATCACTCCTACCAGTGATATCAGAACAGACAGAACCCCCACCATGTTGGCTCTGTCCATGACCTTTCATTTCAGGAGGACCAGGTATTTCCTTCTCTCCCATGTGTGGGGTGGATTGCCAGCATACTGCTCCGGTAAAGAGGCTGGATTGCTTATGAAGGTTCACCTACACTAGCCCATGGAGCCAGGGTGTGACTTAAGGATACTGCCGAAGAGGCATCTGGAAATACAAAGGCCCTGAGTACTTCTACTAAATGCATTATTCTCTTGCAGACTGGAGTGACTATTGGAGCTAATATTATCAGCACACTACTTTCAAGAACTGGGATAGTTCTTCTCTCAGTGAATTTAGTTGATGTATTCTTATCTGAATGCTCAGAGTTACGTGAGTGTTCACTGATTAAAACTTTTGTAAGTGTAAGTACTATTTTGTTGGATGGTCTTTTCACCTGTGATGCTTGCTTTCAGTTCCATTAGTCCTCAGAGACTAAAACCTACCATGAAGTTTCTCAAAGTTGAAAAGTAACAGGGGGAAAAAAAAATCCCAAACAAATGTAATTGTGAATTTTGTTAAAAAAGGAAACAAAAACCTGATATTAGAATTGAAGAATTGTGTGAGTGTGTCATTTGAAAAACATATACTCTTATCATTCCAAATTCTCTCTCTTCTCTGGGCACACTGATCTATGAACAGTCTTTTATTGTTCATAGATCAGAGAAGAGAGACTTGATCTGGAACACTAATTGAAAATTAGCCTATGGGGGCACCTGGGTGGCTCAGTGGATTAAGCCTCTGCCTTCAGCTCAGGTCATGATTTCAGGGTCCTGGGATCGAGCCCCACATCGGGCTCTCTGCTCAGCAGTGAGCCTGCTTCCTCCTCTCTCTGCCTGCCTCTCTGCCTACTTGTGATCTCTCTCTCTCTCTCTGTCAAATAAATAAATAAAATCTTAAAAAAAAAGAAAATTAGCCTATGGATTAGAATTAGTTAAAGTAGACATTTAAATTATAGTTAAAATTATATAAAATTTGGGAGCTGGTCTGCATCCTTTTAATGTTAATTTAAAAGGCAAGTGGAATGTTGGTAAATCCATTTTTTCTGCAAGTAAATTTGAATCTCATGACCTTTGTGTATGTATGTGTATGCCTGTGTATATGTGGGTGCGGGTGTGAGAGAGAGAGAGAGAGAGAAAAACAGACAGACAGACAGAAATCCTGGCCTGTTCATAGTCAGTGTTTGTCTAATAAATGGGACAAAATGGCTGAAGTAGCAGTAACTCCCTCTAGAATGTGAAGGGAGTTTTTTTGCAGAACTTTGCCATTTAGAACTCCCATAACTGTATTTGTTTCTGTTAGAGTTTATGTCTGGTGCTCACTGAAGCAAGGTTTGTGTCTGATCCAGTCTTCTGTCTGAAGAGAATGTGCATATCCTGGATAGGGAGTGCATTGTTCTGCAAAATATCCACTAACCCTTGCCCTTGGGCAACCAGGGGGAGCAGAGCGCAGGCTAAAGCTAAGTGGGAAAATCTGAGCTCCTGCTCCTCTTCTCTTCCTTAGGTTATCGTTATCTTTCAAATGATAGTGACTTGTGTGCAAATTTTTATTTCCTTCTCGCTCTGTGGGCTCACTTATACTGTGCATGGCAATGAGATCAGCTGGGTGAGTAGCCTTTTTTTATTGGGAAGATGAGGGAGCATTTAAAACATTTCAGAGAATCATAGATGCAAACTGTTAACTTCCATCTCTGGTTGAATAGAGATGGCAAAACCACCACCACAATCACCTCCAAAAGCCCTCTTAATGGGAAGACAGGGAGCTGATGAATTTAGACAACCGTGGCTCTGTGTTACACTCATCAGACAATCTATCTCTACCTATTTCTTTGTAGAAACATTTCATTCCTCATGACTTACACAGTTTCCCTCATTCCCTCACACATTACACATTCATTTCTTATTCATTCATCCAAAATATACTGAACATGTATTATATTTACTGGGTTGTGAGATAAGGAAACAGTGGCTTTACCCATGTCTTCAACTAGTGAAAATCACATAGATAAAATAAATACTTAAGGAAAATGTCGCAGTCAAGTAAGAGATGCAATAACTCTGGAAACACATAATTTAAATAGTAATTCCACACCTCATGATTTTCCATGTTATCCTCATCAATCATCTACATGCCGACATGTTCTTGTGCTCATGTGTACCTACATATTCATATGTGTATATCTCTCACATAGCCACATGTCATAGATTCTGAAAGCCCTCAAAAATGATTGGCCTTGTGACCCCCCCCGACCAAATTTATCATACCAATATTTCTGTTTCCATGTCCCTAGGATGAAAGAGAGAGGGGCATATCTCCCTGTGTTCATGGATAGCATTTTTAAAAAGATCTTATTTATTTGAGAGAAAGATCATGGGGGTGGGGAGGAATGGAAGGAGAGGGAGAAGCAGACTCCCTGCTGATCAGGGAGCCCCACAAGAGGCTCAATTCCAGAACCCTGAGATCACAGCCTGAGCTAAAGGCAGATGCTTTCCCGACTGAGCCACCCAAGTACTCCTTCACAGACAACATTTTATTATTTTTTTGGAATGGCCCTCTCTCTTTCTCCTCCTCAAACTCCTGTAGATCCTGGCATGGATTATTGACTACATAAATACGCAACAAGATCAATGAAAAATGTATTTTACTGTGGTTCCAGATATGGCTAGAATTGCCCCATCTCTGCCTCGGCTGTCGAGAACACCTTGGCTAGCCAGTGTGTCTCAGCTGTGGCACTACTGACATTTGGGAATGGATAATTACTTGTTGTGGGGGTGGTGGGGATGATCTGCGCAAAGTAAGGTGTTTAACACCATCCCTGCTTCTATCCCTTAGAGGTCAACAATGTCTCCCACCCCCAATTTTGACAACCAAAACATCTTCAGACATAGCTAAATATCCCCTGCCTGGGTTGGGGGTGGGGTGGGAGTAGGAGTACCACCAGCTGAGAATCAGTGAGCTACCTAGAGCATTGCAGGGATAAATTGACAAGATCAGACAAAATCACTGAAAATTGAGGTGAAATAATTGTAAATGTTATGATGTCATATTTCTAGATTTCTGCACTAAGTTGCTTGATCAGATCACATTCTGAAGATCCTTATCAAGATTTATTGACTCAACCTGAAATTTATGAAGACTTAGCGCTTCAAGATGTAGATCCTGTTCACTCTGATCTGTGAGACACCATCATAATCATCTTTACCACACCGGGGCATCTTGGATCCATGATGGCAACCAAAGACAGATTTTCTGTTAGGAATCTCCTACAAATACCCTCCTTCCCACAGATTTCATCATGCAATTTCTCTCTCTCTCTCTCTCTCTCTCTCTCACACACACACACACACACACACACACTCACACACACACACACACACACACACACACATACACACAAACTTATCAATATATGTGCTTTATTTTATAGTTGACCAGCAAGTACTAGTATGAGCACTCCATAGATGAATAGACCTTTTTTTTTTTTCTTCATTTGAATGATCTATTACCATTTTTAAGCAAATATTAGTTCTTGGGTCTCACAGAGTAATTTGTTGTTACCCACTTGCTTCTTCCTAGAAACTGTACTTCCTTCTTGCTTGACAATTGATTCAAGTGAAAAATCTTTATACAAATAGTTTGGATAAGTAGTGGCATACTGTCCGGCATTGGGTTCAATCTAAGTTCCTTTGACTGCTGAATGTAGCAGCTCTTCCTTGCTTATGTCAAGGTGAACATGAGAAAATATAATAAGATACAAAGTGTAAATTACCACACTCTGATGTATGACATACAATAAAAATCTAATGCAACTTCATTATTAACTGAACGCCAATTTAATCACCCTACCACTCAATGATTTTTTTAAAAAGTAGTGTAGCACTGGGTGTGGTGCAAAAACAATGAATACTGTTACGCTGAAAAGAAATAACAAATTTTAAAAAAAAGTAGTGTTGCTTTCTTATTGGTGACTGTGTATCACAGCGTTTTTAAATTTTTTATAAGGTGCTATCTAGGGTTTGTTTTCTCAAAGCAGGTTTTGAGATTAAGATTTGAGGGTGTGGTTTTTTTTTTTAATTTATTTATTTATTTTCAGCATAACAGTATTCGTTTTTGCACCACACCCAGTGCTCCATGCAATCCGTGCCCTCTCTAATACCCACCACCTGGTTCCCCCAACCTCCCAACCCCCGCCCCTTCAAACCCCTCAGATTGTTTTTCAGAGTCCATAGTCTCTCATGGTTCACCTCCCCTTCCAAGGAGTTGGGGGAAATGAGGGTGTGTTTTTTAAGAAAACAGAGACCACTGACTGGGAGAAAATATCTATAAAGCATATATTTGATAATAGTCATATATCCAGAATACATAAAGAATGCTCAGAACTCAGTAACTGGGGCACCTGGGTGGATCAGTCATTTTAAGCAACTGCCTTCTGCTCAGGTCATGATCCCAGGGACCTGGGATCAAGCCCCACATCAGGCACCCTGCTCAGCAGGGAACCTGCTTCTCCCTCTCCTACGCTCCCTGCTTGTGTTCCCTCTTTTGCTGTCTCTCTCTCTGTGTCAAATAAATAAATAAAATCTTTAAAAAAAAACAACTCAGCAACAAAATACCAAACAACCCGAGTAATAATATGTGTGTAAAATAATTGAACAGACACTTCACCAGTGAAGACATGGAGATTACAAATAAACACAAGACAAGATACTCAGTATCATTAGTTGTTAGGAAATGCAAATTAAAACCATAATGAAATTCTTCTATACTTCTGTTGGAATGGCTAAAATGAAAAAGACTGATCATAACAAGTATTAACAAGA